ATATAGTCACAAAGTTGTGCAACTGTCACTGCTATGTAATTCCAGAACATATCCATCAACCCAAAAGAAACCCTGTACCCATTAGCAGTTACTTTGCCTCTCTCCTCAAAACCACTAATCTTTTTTTCTCTATGAATCAGCCTAGTCTGGCTTTTTCATCTAAATGGCATCGTACAATATGTGGCCTTTTGCGTCTGGCTTTTTCATCTAAATGGCATCGTACAATATGTGGCCTTTTGCGTCTGGCTTATTTCCTTGAGCATAATGCTTTCACTTAGTGTACGTCACTCCTTTTTATGGCCAAATCATATCCAATTGTCTTGATATACTTCACTTTGTTTATCCATTGATCAGTTGATAGTCATTAGGGTTTTTTATACTTTCTGGTGATTGTGAATAATGTTGTTGTAAACACTCATGTACAAGTTTTTGTGTGGACATATGTCTTCAGTTCTCTTGGGTATGTATTAGAAGCAGAATTCTGACTCACATGGTAACTCTATATTCAACTATTTGAGGAACTGCCAAACTGTTTTGCCAAGGAGCTGCATGATTTTACATTCTCAATAGCGTAGGAGGGTTCCAGCTCTTCACACTCTGGCCAACACTTGTTATTGTGTGTCTTTTGATTATTGCCTTTCTAGTGGGTATGAGTTGATGACTTAATGTGGTTTTAACTTGCATTTCCCTAATGACTAATAATGTTGAGCATTGTCCCAGCGCAGAAGCGGGCACCTGTAATCCCAGCACTTTGGGAGGCTCTGGTGGGTGAGTCACAAGGTCAGGAGTTCAGGACCAGCCTGGCCAAGATGATGAAACCCTAAAAATACAAAAATCCACTAAAAATACAAAAATTACTGGATGTGGTGGCAGGCACCTGTAATCACAGCTACTCCAGAGGCTGAGGCAGAGAATTGGTTGAACCGGGGAAGGGAAGGTTGCAGTGAGCTGAGATCCCACTGCTGCACTCCAGCTTGGGTGACAGAGTGAGACTCTGTCTCAAATAATAATAATAATGATGATGATGAGGTTGAGCATCTTTTCATGGGATTTTAAATTTTGTTCTCCCAACCTTACTGAAATAGTTCAAGCTTTCAAAAACATTTGACACCCCTAGTGACACCGTCTTTGAAATTTGTTCTTCTCTGGGCTGTTGGAACTTACCCTCTCTTGATTTTGCCTTTCCTTACTATAGCCTTAAATCAAGTCCTGCTCCTCTTCCCAAACCTCAAACGTTGGAGCGGCCCAGTGCTCGGTATTTACCTTATCCTGTTGTGTTTTTCTTCATGACGTTTATTTCTATCCAAAATTAAAATGTATAATTAGTTATTTCCTTACTTATATTCTGCATCGCCAGTTGGAATATAAGCTCTAGGGGCTTTGTTTTTTTCCTGACTATATCGCTGTTTCCTAGAATAGCACCTAGAAATAGATATTTTTGAGTGAATGGATATATGCTTTAGAGAAGTGTACAGAAGTGTTACATTAATTAAAGTCGGGACTCCATAATCAAATAAGTTTCTGGAATGTTGGATTAGATGAAGTTAAGCATCTTTTGTGTCGGACTTATACTTTAATGTGCTAATGAGCATTGTGAAATGTTATTTGGCCATGAAAATAGTTTTGGTATGGAATGTGTCCTGGGACTTTAAAAAGACACTCTTCTAATTGTAGCAGCTAAACTGCAACCCCTAGCAAATTTGTGGAAGGCCTTTATTAAATAGCTGTGTTGTTGGCACTTAGAAAAGTAAGTTGTGATCACCACTGCTTAATATGAAACGCTAAGAACAGATTATATCAAATTATCCTCATCTCTGCTATTTGTAGGGTTTTTATCAGAATGTCATTCTATTAGAAGGCCTTAGTAATGGTACTTTTTCACAGCAACGAGGCTTTGAGCTGGCTTTATCATGATTTCCCTGTTCTGAGAAATTGAGTGGGTTGTCAGCATCCTGTGATCAGCCTGTCACTTAAGAATTTGTGTCAAGATATCAGGGTAGGTTAAGATCTATGCCCTTGGGGAAAAAATCACCTGTACAGTGAGCTGTTTACTGTCTTCAGTGTGTCACAGTGAAGTTTAAGTGGTGGCCAGTGATCAAGAGTGGCTTTTCTAGAACTTGGTGGTAACACAGTCTATGAACACTAAACCCAGAAGAGGAGGGTAAAGAAAAGGAAGCAGGGGGATAGGCCTGGAGCCTGGACATTCCCAAGTGCAGGGTTGCAGCCCACCATATGTTAGTAGTGGATAGTAACAGGCATATTCCTGAGGACCAGGCAAGGAGAGTGGTCAGAGTGCAGAAAGCCAGAGGCATTCAGAAAGATGTCTCCTCATACTGGACATGGTAGCTCACACCTGCAATCCCAGCTACTTGGAGAGAGGATTGCTTGAGGCCCGGAGTTTGAGAACAGGTTGGGCAACACAGTGAGAACTCCATCGCTAGAAACATGAAGAAAAAAAGTTAGCTGGGTGTCGTGGCATGCATCGGTAGTCCCAGCTATTTGGGAGGCTGAGACAGGAAGATATCTTGAGCCTGGGAGTTGAAGGCTGCAGTGAGCTATGACTGCATCACTGTGCTCCAACCTTGGTGACAGAGTGAGATTTTGTGGGGAGAGAGAGAGAGGAAGGAAAGGAAAGGGGAAAAAAAAGAAATAAAAAGGAGGGAAGAAAGGAAGGAGGAAAAGAAAAGAAAAAAGAGAGGAAGTATAGAAGGAAAAAGAAAGAGAAAAGAGACAAAGAAAGAGTCTACACATAATGCAGTAGGGCAGGCAAAACAGTGAGTGACCTCAGTGCCCACACTGGTACCCTTGGCAGGAGCGAGATAAGAAACCAGATGGATATTGTAAGCCAGTGGTTCTCTCAAAGTGTGCCATTAGACCAGCAGCAGCTGGGAGCTTGTTAGAAATACAGACTTTCAGGGCCCTGCAGTCTGCATTTTAACAAGCCCCAAGTGCAGGTGGAAGTTTGAGAATGGCTAGTCAAATCAACAGAAACAAGCTTTCGCTAAAGAGATGCTTGAACAATGCCCTCATTCAAGGAGCTTCTTAATATCTTGTTTTGTTGGTGCAGAAATCATCCCTGAATGTGGTGTCTACTTGGCTTTCAGGTTTAAATTTGTTTTTTTAAGTAATAAAAGTAAGTCTTCTATAGTTCCCGGTAATGAAAAGCTGCATGCTAAGCACATGGTTAGCAGACTTAATTCTTTTAACCCTATGAGGTTAGCAACCATTATAATCCCCATTATAGATAAAGATACTGACGCATATGAGGCAAGGTCACACAGTTAGTTTGTCGTAGGTCCAGGATTTGCATTAGGAAATTTGACTGCAAGATATTGGTCTGGAGCTTCCTAGAATGTATAAAGAAGATGACGATGGATAGATGGATGGATGGGAGGGAGAAAGAGGTGGAGAAAGGAAGAGGGGCAAAGAAAGAAGAAAGGAGGAAAAGAAGAAAGGATAACAGTATATTTTAGAATTAAAGAGTGATTGAAGGCTCCTTCTGAGGGTGGTCTGTATCCTTGTACTGTGTTATTTTCCTGGTTTTGCTTTTAAGTCAGCCTATCTAGAGATTTCAGCCTGGGCCCACCTGCCCGGCTTTCTTCTAAGAATTTTTGGTTTCATGGGTAGTTTGTGGTTTATTTTTTCTTGTTTCTTCTTTCTCTTTCTCTTTCCATGCTCACATAGTCTTTGTGACTTAAGTACACACTTGGCCCAGTTGCTAAGAGATCCGTGACTGGCTTTATTATTGACTGGTGCATATTCTGGCAAAAGCCTGTGACTCTTTGGGTACTATGCTCAGGGGCTGCTTCGAAGCTCTTCTCTGCTTCATTCACCTTGGACCACATTGCACCCTGCCTCTGCTTTAATAGCGTATCATTTTCCCCCTCCTTGTATAGCAAAGCCGCAGGGACACTTAATCTTATATTCTCTGGAGGCCTTTCGGAGCCTCGGAGCCTGATCTCAGTAATCAAGAAGCGGTGGGTGGTCAGGGATGAGGTTTGACCCTCTGTCTGCCTCTCTGTATTTAAGCTTTTTATTTTCACATTCCTCCCCATGGTTTGTAATAAAAGTAGAACGTAGCTCAAGGGCAGGAATGAGGTTTAACTTCAGCCGAGGTACAGTAGAGGCTATTTGGAAAGTAAAACTTTCAAATGGTAGTTTAGCCTTGAAGAATATATTGAATTAGGTATGCTCTGAGCCTTGATTCACGATTGCTGCCTAATAGCATTGCTATGTATATTACCTGGGTGCATTAGTAGACTACAGAAATGGGCTATTTAAAAGATTAAGTTTGCACAGTCAGTGCACGTGCTGATGAAACATGTGGGAGCAAAAGGCAGGTGGTCTCGTTTCCGGTACTGACTTCTACTTCCTGTGGGGCCCTGGCCTCACTGAACACTGATTTCCTCTTCTGTAAAATGGAGGTCATTGCCTCACAGGATTTTTAAGAGTGCTAAATGACAGAATGCCAAATGCAGAGCTTTGCTTATCATAGGAAATAAAGACGTAATAAATGAGAACTGTTTATATTACTAGGATATGATTATTGTTCAAAGCCCTGAGTCTGTAATTCTGCCCATACTGCTTGCTACTCTCATTCATTAACTCTTTACATACACAGTTCTGTTAGCCAATTCTTATTTCTTGTCAGTGTCAGAGTCATGATGGTCACCCTTGAAGATGTGCTGTCATTTCAAAGCACTGGTTAAACACAACCAAGACTGACAACCATGAATAATTCCAAAGAGCCTCTAAAACACTCTAGCATTTCACTCTGTCTCTCATACATACCACCAAGTTGTTCTCTCTTGCTTAGTGCACTCTCTTCTCAGCAGATTATTTCAGGTATAGTTACTGATGGTGAATATCAACTTCCTCTGAAAAATAATCCAGCAGGAACCATCCAGAGTAATTGGGCTTCATGAGAACATCACTGTCAAGTCTAAAAATATATGGGGAGATAATCACATTTTATTTTTTTCTTTCTTGTATATTTTCAGCACGTTCACGTCCACGTTCTTCCCAGGAAGGCTGGAGACTTTCACAGGAATGACAGCATCTATGATGAGGTGGGTCTGCGCTCTCTGATCTTATTGTTTGATTACGGGGACTGTCGGTGTGATGACATCAGCCTAATGAATCAACAAATACCCTAGATATGGTCTGAAATGGGGTTGTATTTAGTCTGTCTTAGAAAGTGGCAGTAGAGACCAAGACTCAAGAATGATCATCATGGGAACCCAAGACTAAGTTAATTATAATGATTTCTTTTTCAAATGAAAACTAACAGAAACCAAATGTCCTTGTGATTTCTATCCTGTCATTTACCAGGACAGTAAGTATTTGCATGGAGATATTGTCCAGATCTCCACAGAGGAAAACCTACAGTGCTACCAGTGGAAGTCAAGTAGATTGATATATGATCCTTTTAGTCAAATGCTATACTTAATTTTCAAAACACTTTGAAACTCACCTTGTCTTTCCCAACAGCATTTATTCAGAGTGAAACTTTGAATTATCATGAGCAAAACTAGGTTGGTTAGAATAATGTAGGTGTAACTCACATATCATAAATATTATAGCATTTATTTTATTTCTGAGTACTCCCATTCAAAGATACAGGCGTAAAACCACTACAAACATGAATCAGCAAGAGCCAGGTGATCCACTCCCAAAGAGGATGTCTATGTGAGAACCTCCAGATGCCCATTTCCACCATGTGGAGCATAGAGCCTGTGATGTATCAGGTTGACATAAAATATAAGGTGATTTCAATGTACCTATTTATTGTAGCCAAGGAGTGGAAAGTAAGTCCTCCATATGGTAGAGCAAATTTGATAGCACTAGTGCCCTGGAGTGATTGGTTAAAAGGACTTTGAGGCTGTTTCTGGATGAAACAATGAAAAGTGCTGTGATTGATTAGCAGTGCCTGCCAAGGGCATCAGATAGGAGGAACGTATCATATTTGCTGTCTATTTGACAATCCTGTTCTAACCCTTTAAGAATGCTTTTTAAGACACATTGCTTATTTCAGTCGTTTATCATGTGACTCTATCAAATAAACCACATGATTATCTCTACCTGCTTTCTAGGGACCAGTTAAAATCTATGCGTCTTTTCGCATGTGTGTCTGTGGGGCTTCTTTGCAGGATGGCATTAAAATGGCAACTCAAACCGTGAAAATAAAGAACAGGAGGTCAGCAGTTAATAATGGAACTTACAATTAATGTTTCTGGGATGTGTTGGGTTCCTTGAGGTGGCTGGTTATTCTGACTTTAGGATAGCCCTTACTATCTTGTACTTCTGTGTTTTCAAGAGCTGTGTTGGATGTGTGTAGATTGGAAACAGACTAGTCATCAGTACCTAAGTGCTGATTTGTGGACCAGTTGCTGCAGATCTCAATTCCCAGGAGGTACCATCCCTGGAGATCCTGATCAAGTAGATTGCACAGCACCCAGGAATCAGTCATTATATAAGGAAATCCCCAGGAGACTCGGATGCAAAACTACCTTTGGGAATAGGTTGTCTGGGTTTTCCAAAGTCATATTCTATAATACTATAATTTGAATTCATTTTCGCTGGATGTAGAATGCAGTTTGGGGATTGATAAGGGCTTAGTTCACATTGTAAGAAAATCAGAATTATAGAGTAATTATAAAGACATGCAATTAAAATACAAATACCAATCTCACTAACATAGACTAAGGTTAATAAAATGTTGCCAAATATAGGCTGTTTTAATGAATAAATTAGCACCTGAATTATATACTAGTAAATACTGCTAAAGTAGCTTTAAAAGTACCTGAAAACACTGTTTTCTTAGGCTGAACAGTCACCTTGAAATCTTGTCGGTGTTTTAAATGGGCTTGAGACAGAAGCTTCATGGTGACATTTCAGCCCAGTTCAAGATAGAGTGTCCAGTGCTGTAGTTGGTATATGCCCTGTCTCCTCTCTTATTCTTTTGCCCTTGTCTGCATGCTCTGATGGCCCCACAGATAAGAAGGAAACACATGTTCCTACTTCTTACATTTTGGAAGATCATCTCAGGAGAAGTAATTACTGTAAGAATTCTTTTTTTTTTTTTAAATCAGTGGCATGAGTCATATGTAGTATAGACAGTATTCACTAAGGGAGATTGTGGTACAAGACTAAGTAGAGATTGAAGTCTGGAAATGGGCAGAAGTAAGTTCAAATCCCAGTGGCATCTACTAACCATATGATATTGAAGCCTGAAGGGCTTATTTCAGGGCTTGGTACTTAGCAAGAATTTGTTAATAGGTAGGGGTTTCTCTTCTTACTGTTATTACTAGTTTTGTTTCTTTTTAAAAAAGTAGCAAGGATGAGCAAATAGAGAACCAGATTCAAAGCCAGGTCATTGGATGTTCCCATCTACCATTCTTTCCAAGAGTGAGATTCCCAATTTTCCCATTTCCTTTAACCATTCCTTCTCAGTTTCATCTTCCTCTTTATATGGAACTGCTTCTCTAGGCTGAGTATCTAATAACACAGTGTTCAAAAGAGGCATGAAAAGCATGCAGCACTGCACAGGCATTATTGGTATAGACCTTAACGTACATTAGACCAAGTGATCTTAATCAGAAGTGATGGAGTGATGAGGGATGGCATTCTTTATATTGATGGGAGTGCTGGCTCTAGATTATGCATCTGTTCAGGACGATCAACAAACAGACTGCCTTGGAGGGCGGGAGGTAGGAAACAGGAACAGCAGGGGGCTGAGCTCCATAAAATGTAATTGTATTCCTATGGCTGCAGACATAAAAAATTATGCCCAAAAAAGCCCCAGAGTATAAATTGGCTAGGAACACTGTGTTCTTTCTGGGCATTGTTTTAACATGGTTAGTGACAAATAACAAGGTTCATAAGAAGGGCGTTTGGGTCTGAAAACAGATTTCGGGAATAGTTGATGGTAGGAGTGTTTTGTCTGGAAAAAGGAAGACTTGTGGAGGGGAGATAGTACAGAGTCACTCTTTCCAAATATCTGAAGGGCTGGCAGTGGAAAGGTATTAAATACATTCTATGTGGCTCCAGAGGACAAATCTGAGATTATCACACCACAAGATGGCAGGTATCATCAGCTCTACATAATAACAGGCCAAAGTGAGAAAAACTTCTAAACATTTAGAGTGCCTTATAAGGGGGTGAGATCCCCACCCCTGGATCCACTCAAGCACAGAGCAGTTGGCCACAATTCTTCAAGAGGATGTCTACATTTGGTCACTGCACCATTTGACCCATTTGATCATCACCACCATCTTCAGATTTTACAAGTTCTGTAACAGATAGTGGGGTGTTTTTGTTATTAGTATTACAATGTGACTATCTAGTGAAACATATTGTTTTCTATGTTAAGTTTATGGAAGTATAAGGTAATACCTTTTTTTCTGTTTACTTATAGGAAACCACACTCTATTGATTTTTTTCTCATTCCCAGCCTACTCCCTGCTTTTCTTGTAGCTCAGCATTGCATATTGATGATCCTTGGGCTTTGTTTGCCTCCTCATAAGTGTTTTATTTTTGCCTGCAAAGTATTTTTTGGGGATATGCTTTATTGTGCCCGTAAAGTATTTTTTAACAAGTCTAAATGTTGTTAGGCATATTGCTCATTCTTCAGGCCAAAACAGTTGTCACAACTGTCTCCCACCTAGGATTGCTTCACTGGCTTCTGGTGCCTGCATGGCTCCTGAAGGCATTAGAGTTTGAGATCACTCCCTGTTTCATGGGCTGCTCCTCTTGTCCCTGCCGCTAAAAGATTAATATTCCCCAGAATCTTCTGTCTGGTATACAGGGCATGCTGTTTATCTGAAACATCTGTTTCACCTCCCTGCCTACTCATACACAGTGCTCTGGCCCCAGGTGAGTTCTTTTCTGTTGTTATTATTTTACTTCAAGTTCTGGGATACATGTGCAGAATAGGAAGGTTTGTTATATAGGTATACATGTGCCATGGTGGTTTGCAGCACCTGTCAACCCGTCATCTAGGTTTTAAGCCTGGCATACATTTGGCATTTGTCCTAATACTCTCCCTCCTCTTTGCTACCCATCCCCAGCAGACCCCAGTGTCTGTTGAACAATGTTCTCATTGTTCAACTCCCACTTATGAGTGAGAACATGAAGTGTTTGGTTTTCTCTTCCTGTGTGAGTTTGCTGAGAATGATGGTTTCCAGCTTCATCCATGCTCCCTGCAAAAGACATCATGATCTCATTCTTTTTTGTGGCTGCATAGTATTCCATGGTGTCTATGTGCAACATTTTCTTTAGCCAGTCTATCATTGATAGGCATTTGGGTTGATTCCAAGTCTTTGCTATTGTAAATAGTGCTGCAGTAAACAAATGTGTACATGTGTCTTTATAGTACAGTGACTTATAATCTTTTTGGTATATACCCAGTAATGGCATTGCTGGGTGAAATGGTATTTCTGGTTCTAGATCCTCGAGGAATTGCCACACTGTCTTCCACAATAGTTGAACTAATTTATACTCCCACCAACAGTGTAAATGCATTCCTATTTCTTCACAGCCTCACCAGCATCCTTTGTTTTAATAATCACCATTCTGACTGGCGTGAGATCTCAGCATGGTTTTGATTTGCATTTCTCTAATGATCAGTGATGATGAGTTTTTTTTCATATGTTTGTTGACTGCATAAATGTCTTATTTTGAGAAGTGTCTGTTCATATCCTTTGTCCACTTTTTGATTGGGTTGTTTGTTTGTTCTTGTAAATTTGTTTAAGTTCCTTATAGATTCCGGATGCTAGAACTTTGTCAGATGGGTAGATTGCAAACCTCTCATTCTGTTGGCTGCCTCTTCACTCTGATGCTAGTTTCTTTTGCTGCACAGAAGCTCTTTAGTTAGATCCCATTTTTCAGCTTTGGCTTTAGTTGCAATTGCTTTTGGTGTTTTCAGCATGAAATGTTTCCACAGGCCTATGTCCTGAATGGTATTGCCTAGGTTTTCTAACAAGTTCTGAAATTGAGGCAGTAATTAATAGCCTACCAACTAAAAAAAACCTAGGACCAGATGAACTCACAGCAGAATTCTACCAAAGGT